AACATCGATTATCCGACCCCCTCTGGGCAGACAACTGTCAGGCGGTGTTCAGATAAGGCAAATGTTCCGGATAAGAAAACACGCTGTAAATACATGTACAGTCATGTACATTGTAAATAGAATAGAGTGCTACTTTTCAAAATTTTCGTATTTTTGAATGGCTCACTACATGCACAGTGCGTACTCTACGGCACGTGCGCCCAAAAAAACTGTTACGGATAATCGAATGGTCGGATAGTCGATGTGCGGATAATCGATGTTCAACTGTACTCAATCGGAGAACACTGCAGGCTCTTTGAACCACGGGCACGACTCTTCGCTCGCAACGCTATGGAATCTGAAAGTTCTAGGTCCTGGAGCTGTTCGCTGTTTTGTCACTTGTCACGGTTGTGCACTCATCGCTGTAGCATAAAATAATGAGGCGGGACTGGAGCGGAAAACTAAAATTTTCTTTCTCAAAGCACAACCACCGGCACCGGCAAGGAGAAGTACAGGTTCCTGCACGAGTATGAGGGCAGTACCGCGGAATCCAGCCCGCGCCGCGATAGCGGCAAGGGCTGGATGAGCAGCGGTACTGACCGAGTATGAGTGACTGGAACGTGTTTCCCGTATGCACCCGTACCCAAGGAGATCACTCACAATCTTTGACGTTTGAGTTTACATGAACCATTCTGTGACTCGACTCGAGTCCTGTATGAGGCTGTGACTCTGTACTGCTGTGTGAGCTGAGCGAGAGTGACTTCGACAACCGTACACGGACTACAGTACATGACTTTTGCAGTAGACAATCATAGAGTTCTGGCAGGACTTTATGGCTGAATCAAGGCCGAGTGCATACGGCCAAGGGCGCGAGGTATATTATGCTCCGCAGGCCGCGAAAGAGAGCCCGTTACCTGGACCCCTACTCGCGCGGGTAGAGCGAAACTGAGCACCCTGGGATGCGAGCAGCTTTTTAGTACTCCCGGGTCCAAAATCTCACCACCAGGCCGGGATGATCAAAACGTCTGCCGGGTCTGCAGCCTACAAACGTGGATCTGCCGACACTGTGCTGTCGACGACATGTCCGGCAAGGCACCTCCTTGCGTGAAAGCAAGGAACGCTTTTTTTTTGAAAGGAAGCTTCTTCTCCAAAATTTAAAATTTTTGAAAATTATTCCTTCTGAAAATATCATCGCGTTCTTGACCTCGAAGCTGACTGCTGAATGCGATTAGGAAAGAAGATTCCTGAAGATACACCAGACTGATTCTGGCAAGCCGTCTGTCGTCTAGACATGCGGTTGTTCGTCATGCATGGTCAGCAATCTTCCTCGTTCGTCCTTTCGTTTTCCTGACCACGATGATGACAAGCAGCTCTCATGCTCAGGTTAGTGCTGTACTTGTATGTCTGGGCACACAACACATCTGAGATTCACCCACTGACGTTATCGAACTGAAGAATGCAGCAAGGGTTCCTCGGATTCTCTTGATTTCGGAACAAATTTCCTTCACTTTCACCCTCTCAGTCTCTTCCCCATGCCCTCCATGCATGCACAATCGAGTTTGCATTTCAAATGTTGTTTTTACTTTGGCAGTGCGTTCGATAACGTTAGGACAGTCTAAGTTAGGTGTTCTTCTCTTCAGGCTTATTGGACGTGTACAAATTCTAAAAAAATAGCTTCCATATGCTAAACGCAGATCCCTGTGAATACGGTTCTGCTGGGCAATGATGTTTACACCAATCTACACTCTATGCTGTCACAGCATCCACAACTGATCCTCTCTCTGAATTAACTATTTGATAAAGCCAATCTTTAAATCGCTGTTGCATAGGATCTCGGGTGGGAAGAAGCGATGAATCGATACATGGCATTGTGAAGAAAAGAAGAACAAATTCACATTGCACGTGAGACTCGGTTAGAAAGACTGAGTTTCTGCATTCATAAGAATGTCACACCCCGGGGATCATGATAAAGAAAACATATGTCGTGAAAATGACTGAAAGAACCAAAGAAGTATTTGATCTTCCAGCCAGCTTAGCCTGGTACTACCATACTAGCAGTGCTACCAAGTACCAGCCCTCCATATTTTCTGTATTTGTACGGAAAATCACTCCTTGTGCGCACTACAGAAATTGAGCAAATGGTATAGAAAATCGGAGAGGATCAATCAGCTGTGTAGAAGCATTGCAAGTGTAAGCTGAGTGATGAATAGTCTTGTACCAAAGCGAGTGCATGCCGTACCACAACAACATGTACATGTAGCACAAAAATAATAATGTCGTGAGTGCAAGTCACACATGTTTTACACTACCAAATGCAGCCACCGACATGCATGTGCGTGTCAAAAAACATTACAGTGCAAGTATGCATGCAATGTACACGGCAGTACGCAAAACACTGCAAGATACGGAAAATCAGAAGTCTGAGTACGCAAAACAGACTCAATTGGTGGGCAGCTCTGTACTGGCCTGTACGGAGGGAGTGAATCTCAATGTGTGCAATGCACGCACTTTGGCCGACAGTGAAAACTATGCAAGTCGTGTTGGTTTGCAGGATGAATGTGAGTCCTTTTAGACAAGCGCCTTAGTGGAGTAGCCCACCGAAAGAAGAGTACTTGACACCGCGAAGTGGAGTCTGCGCATACAACAGTGAGGGGGTAAAATTAGCTATGACTGATTCTGCATGTGTTCTGCATGTGTGTCACATTACACTAGCAGATAGGCACACCTGTTGTTCCAAAAAGATGCTTATGTCAGTGTCTGAATATGTCGTGTACCAGGTAATATTGTTGCCAGGATCTCACGGTGAGAGTCAGACTTGAATATGGTATCAATAGATTATCAATATCATACATCACCATGTACCACCCAAAGTATAATAGCCGAAGGACCCGTTTGTGTGGTGGTGTATGATTTCGTGAGCAAGATGAAGTGGCTACAGATGTGTCTTATATAACACCCTAAGAAAAGATCATCAATTCTGGGGAAAGTGATTCTGGTAGCATGTTGTATCCAGTGTGGCATGACAAAGACTCTCTCGATTTAGCCTGTGGAGAATCCGTAAATACATAAATACAATACATACAGGCATCGCCACCTTCGGATTATATGCTCTTTTGCTTGCCTCCTGGAGTGTGGTTGTACCTTGGTTCACTGTATTAGAATAATAGTAGACTTTGTTTTTCGAATTCGTTTCTATAACATTAGGTTTCTTTCTGTTGCTGCTATGTCTTTTCATGTGTTTTACAGGATTGCCATCTGTTGATGAATACCACTCTGAGGCACTCTCACGAGCGAAGGTGTTTGAGAATCCATGTCGGAATGATGGTCATGTTGGCCTTAAGGTGCATTACATTGCCGATACTCGCCACCTCCACCCTGGAACATGTTCAATTTCTGTTTCTCGTATGGAAGGACCACTCAAGACTGAACAGCACTGATGGAAGAAGATTTGCCGTGAATCTCGTTCACATAATCAGCCTGTTTAATTGCTGTACTGAGGTGACTGCTTCATAACAATGACCATGCAGCATTAATTTTGGATAGTATTGCAGTGCCCCTAAAATTGGAGAATATCGAATTTCTCTGATAGCATTGTGATTCATTTGTGAATAAACATCACTACTCTTTTTGAGTAGCATAGCAATGACAGAGTTGGTTTAATGTATGACAAAATGGAGCCGCTTTTTAACTTAAACCTGTACTATAATCAGTACCGCCGGAAGCAGTTTTTGATTGGTCCGGTAGTTTCATGGCGGGTACACACGTCCTCCACGGTAGGAAACGTTTGTTGGTGGCCAACAAGTTGGTCTGGTGATAACCTGACCAACCAGACCGGCGGGCCTGATAATTGTGGGGCTCATGAGCAGCTCAAGTACTTAGTATGGTTTTGGACATGTCCCCAGTTAACCAATGAGAATAACCGGAAAACAAGGGGGGCTTTAGATACCGGGCTGACTTAACAAGAGGCAGGATAAGCGCGTTACGGGTTGAGCTTGTCGAAAACCAATTGTACTTCATTATGTGTGAAGGGGTTTTATGAAGAAATATTTTATGAACCAGTGTACAGAGATGGTGCTTATGACGAAAGGAGAGAGGAGAAGTGTGTGAAAGTCGATAAAGGGCATCCGAAGGAACACATCGATCCTTGTTGTAAAGAATATTAAGTATAAATCTATGGTTGAAACCTACTTCCCCAAGCGTTCTCTGTTAAGTATAAATCTATGGTTGAACCCGACTTCCCCAAGCGTTCTCTGAGGGGACCGAGGTCTACTCTATCAGTTCATGTATTCTGTGAAGTGACATGACCATTCGTGGGGACCTTGCTCATAACTGCAAAAGTCCTCGTCTGATTTTTCCGCATCAATTGAACGTTATACATGTGCATGTAGTGAAAGCCACATGCAAAAGGCTGTTCCATGGCACTCATCTGCCACCAAGCTCTGGGTTCATTGGCTGAAAATATTCTTCGGCACAGTAAAGTCGTGCGCCCAAGAACGTGGAAGCCTACAGAACATCCAACCTGGAATACTAAGAACACCACAGCCCAAAATTAAGAATTGCGGTGTAGGTTTGTGCTGTTGTCAAACACCGGGATTGTTATGTTACACATGTATCTGAGCTTTACCACTACATACACGTCTGTCTTTACACAATTACCAATCTGCAGACAGCATGCTGTTTCGTCCTTTAGTTACTAATGGACTCATCAATGCAGCACAGAGAAAATGAGGCAGGTGAATGTCCTAGGCTAGAGAGCATCAAATACAGGTATAGAATCATGCCTTGCAGATCTCGTTACGGCCCCTTCGATGCATGTCTGAACATTAGATGGCTGTGTAGCTTCAGTTATCTCAGAATATGTACTATTTATCCAGCAGCAACAACGTTGGTCACACAACTATTCACTATAATGAGTATGCGTTGGAACACTTTACCCCGAGTCATACTATAGCAGTGTATGCCATGCATGGGTTTACCTCACACACTGAATTTCATAATTTGACATCCAAATCACAGAAGAGTGGTGTTCCAAACTTTACGTAATTGCACTCCATGTCCTGCGAGCTACAGTAGAATACTTCAATAGAAAATTTCTTATAGCACGTTCTTAGAAACAAATCGTATAGGTTCGAGGCTGTCAACCCAGAAAACAGCCATAGATGTTACCAGTCAGGTCACTGTATACAGTAGGTATGCAGAAGAAAATACTAGTAACTCTTTGTGGAAGAGCTGTGTCAAAATGTGTACAGTACAGTAAATTAATAAAAAATGAGAAAAGCAGTGACAAGGCTGTGCATGATGTAGATCTACTCGTACCAGTAAGTACAGTGCACCAGTGAAATTGTTGGTGTAGTACCGGTATACTACTATAATTATGGCATGGCCCATGCCACTACAATCTATTTGCAGTGGGCCGCAGTAGGCCAGTGCAACAGAAAGCATTTCAGAAGCTGTGTGCAATGTTAACATCTATGACATACAAGTAAACTGCCATATAGCACAATCGATTACTCTCAGCCCACATAAGTACAATGTAGGCCAATCAGTAGTATAGATACATAGAGCACACTCTACATCATACATAGTCGGCACCAAATCTATGTTGTCGATGTACTTTGCAATGATGACATGATGGCAAGCGTGCTTGATTCATCATAATATTGCCTTGTACTTGGTTGGAAGTTAGTTGTAAGTTCAGTGGTCGAGGTAAGCAGAGCTGCTCCAGCTTTCAGAATCCTGGATGAAAAAGGCAGAAAGCAAATGTAGGTATAATAGTAGCAAGCTGATGTAAAGAGCCTGTCTTTCAATGCAATAATTCTATCCACTGCATGGACAGACCTGGTGCTTCATTCACCTCTGTTTCTTGCTTTCTCAGAAAACCTACTTCCTCCTTCAGCCATCTAGCTCATGATATACATTAATTTTTCTTTATGCCTTTTCAGCCGTGGTCGACTTTCGCCTCTCCTGTTTGATTGGCAATTGCAGTCAACCTGGGGAATACTGACCCTCGATTGTGAATGAGAAAAGTGTCGCTATTCGCATTGTTGTTACTCGTGAGGTTGGAAGTATGCAATCAAATGTTCACTAGATCTGAAGATTGTGTCGTTATTTGCGAGTTGTTTTGTAAACCCGAGGTAGATTATTCACAAGGTTGATTGTACATGCTATGGGATGTACAATAACTAACCAAACAATAATGGTGTAACAATGATTTGAGTCCATATCCAATTGGATGAACCTAGAGTGCATGATCCATTCCAGAAAGGCGACTTCAGTGAGTCTTGAATTGTCAGCAGCATCATACTTCCATCGAGCTTTTTTTCTTTTTCGAAACGACCCTCTCTTTTCAATTCGAACGAAGGTCAACATACGATTATGGCAGGCATGTACGCACTGATCTTCACTGTATACATGTGCATGTATACTGTACTGTAGTCTGTGCAGTCAACTAGTCGTGTTCCACTTGGCTTACGGTAAGTATCACTACAAGTGCATAGTAGCCCCCCCCCCCCACCCCGGGGAGTGCGCGTGAACGGCAACTGTGAACTGGTAAAAGAATTATTCGACACCTTCGTTCGTTTCGATGGAGAAGGTTCATCTGGCAAATTGAGGCCTTCGTTTCACTCCTAGCCCCAGGAGCGAAATTTTCACTCCTTGGCTGCCTGTTTGAGCCGTCCTTGTGGAAGGGTTGATTTATGCATGCCCGCATATACATGTAGACCTTATTCAATAAACGTCACAATCACGTGAACCAGGGTCCCGGGAACCAGGGAGCGGCAAGAGACCTGCACTCAGTGCACAGTGGACTCGGCGTGGGAACATAGGAGTAGAAAAATACCGGTATTTTACTACTCCCTTGTACGAACTGGGCCTTTCTTGCCACTCGTTTCACGTACGCGTGCCCCAGCTTACAACAAATCCCTGGAGGCGAGTCCAAAAATCACGTTATCGAATAAGGTCTATAGAAACACAGATCACGTAGAACTACCCCATCCGGGGTCACAACTCACAACGTTTTGGGTACTTAGGTCTCATGTCGTCTCCCCAGGTGCTATGAATCCCTGATGCACATGTATCTACATATACAATGTAATCGTAACTCTACCAATATTGCGGACGATGACCCTCCCCCCCCCCCCCCCCCGGCAAACAGAAAGTCGCTATATCCTGGCCGAGTTTATCTTTTAATTAAATGGTTTTCTCGGTTGGGATTTCATACCTGACAACCATCCCGATTTGGCCGGGACCGTCCCGATATCGAGGGCGGTAATAGGCACCCAAAAGTGCACTAGTTCCATGCCTCACCGCGAGCTTCTTTTGTATACATTTTCATGCCTAGGTATGTCATTGGATCTCAGGTTTGCAAAGGTTGGCAGGTATGGGATTTGTAGAGTGACCAGTTTTGACTATTGCCACCTGCTGTGCAGAAGTGTCATTCCTACATCCTGGCTGCAAACGTACCCCCCCCCCCCCCCCCACACACACCACCACCAACCGTGAATGTTCGATCCTATTTACAGGACCTCACTCTATATGAAAGTGTAGCAGAGGCACTGCCAAAGTATAAAAAACAGCAATTGAAATGCAAGCTGCATTGTGCATGCATGGAGGGCATGGGGAAGAGACTGAGAGGGTGAAAGTGAAGGAAATTTGTTCCGAAATCAAGAGAATCCGAGGAACCCTTGCTGCATTCTTCAGTTCGATAACGTCAGTGGGTGAATCTCAGATGTGTTGTGTGCCCAGACATACAAGTACAGCACTAACCTGAGCATGAGAGCTGCTTGTCATCATCGTGGTCAGGAAAACGAAAGGACGAACGAGGAAGATTGCTGACCATGCATGACGAACAACCGCATGTCTAGACGACAGACGGCTTGCCAGAATCAGTCTGGTGTATCTTCAGGAATCTTCTTTCCTAATCGCATTCAGCAGTCAGCTTCGAGGTCAAGAACGCGATGATATTTTCAGAAGGAATAATTTTCAAAAATTTTAAATTTTGGAGAAGAAGCTTCCTTTCAAAAAAAAAGCGTTCCTTGCTTTCACGCAAGGAGGTGCCTTGCCGGACATGTCGTCGACAGCACAGTGTCGGCAGATCCACGTTTGTAGGCTGCAGACCCGGCAGACGTTTTGATCATCCCGGCCTGGTGGTGAGATTTTGGACCCGGGAGTACTAAAAAGCTGCTCGCATCCCAGGGTGCTCAGTTTCGCTCTACCCGCGCGAGTAGGGGTCCAGGTAACGGGCTCTCTTTCGCGGCCTGCCGAGCATAATATACCTCGCGGCCGTGCGCACGCACCATGGAAACGGCACTGTAAAAACCTGAAGCAGCAGTCGTACGAGCACTCACTGCACTGCACTGCAGTACAACTACATGTACAACTTCAGGGCTAGTACTTGCACAGAAACACGTGGGCGCCATTTTGGTTCACGTGACATGTGTCACACCATGCTGTGTACAGGGAATCTTGCCGTACTTCGCGTCGACTCTGGCCTGTTCAAATCCACGCAAGTGAGCCACAGTTCTCTCTAGCAGGCTGAGATTTTGCAGGTACCGAGTTCAGATGTGGGCAAAGGGATTCACCGAAGGATTTTTTGATTTTCCCAATTTAGACCTCAAATAACACCCTCAAACTCGGTAAACGTGTCCCACCTCTAGGATCGTTTTGGCGAAATTCGCTTCGGTCAAAGTATGGAGCATCTCCTACTGAAAATTTTGAGCCATCGATTGTCAAAATCGGCTCATGTGGAGCTCACTTGTGTCGTTTTGAAGGACGCCGCGCCACGCGCGATTTGCGCTGGTTCTTTCACAAACGGAAGACACCTTCCACTCAGTCAGAAGTGCAGACTGTGACAGTGCAGTGCGCACGGCAAGGAAAAGAAGGAGACGTGGATTTTCCATTTGTTGCACTGTGTCCTTTGCTTTTATTGTTCACTGATAACATGTTCGCAAAATCTTGAGCTAGAGAGAAGACTGACTTACAATCTGATTCATATAGGCTTCAGCGTGATGCACGTATCCAGACCATAGGAAATATTGGGAAAGGAACCGGGAACCACGAGAATAATTTTCTGGAGCGAATCCAATTATTACCATGGTTCCTTGTTCTTGAACACCGCGCTCCACATCGTCAATGTTCTGCGAGGTAAGGATTTCAGGACTACTGTCGGCTTGTTCGACCTCGGGGCGATCTGATCTACGTCCAGCTGGCCATGATACTGAGCCGAACTGGCCACTAGTTCGCTTCTTTCTCGACTCGGGATAATCAAGCCGGTCAGAGTGCGACTTTTTCCTACCCTGGATGCGACCCATGGCGCGGACTGAAAATAACTACTGAACACCTCCTTGTACAAGCACTGACATACAAGGCCGGTGGTGGATACAAACTGACAACAGGAAACCCTAACAGCACCCGCTCTGTCAAAGAAAGTCGAAGGGAAGCAGTTCGAACTAGTTCAAGCACCACCAAAAACTAAAAACTAGCACTTGCTCTTGCAGCTAGGTCAAAGACTGCACTGGCAAGTACACTTTTGCGCAGTCGCGATCTCGCGGCCCCGCATCACGTGCGGGTATCTGATGACGTAGAGTGATTCAAGATGGCCTCCGACGTGTTTCCCGTTTTGTGATCCCAAATACCAGCCCTGAACTTACTTTTCAGGGCTCACAGCCGGTATGCCAAAACCTCGAGCGAAGGACTAAAGGGACCCTCACTTAATTTTTTGCCGACTACCCGCCAAAAAACACATTTCGACACGCGTGTGTGCTGGACGTCTGCGCGTGCACGACAAGACGTGTGAGCTGGCTGACAAGTGAGAGCCAGGGAGTTGTCAAGTACCGGCGTTTGACGACTCCCGGCCTGGTGAGAGCATGCATGCATGCATGCATGTCCAGCTGGCGGGAATGGGAACCTATTTTGTAGATCGATGGGTTGAATGTGAAATTGTGGATCTACACGAGGTTTGTTTTGATGTTCTGATACTTGTTGTAATGGCTAGTGATCTTGCAAACTGTAAAACTGTTACTGTGACTTTTCCAAGTCCTACTGATATACCTTGTCAAATCAGATGCCCTGTAGTAGTCTTGGTGGAAGCAGACTGGAATGCGTTGAATTCGTAGCTTCTGAAATTGAAATTTATTTTTTCTTGAGTGACACTGACAAGCGATGGCATTGGCGACAGGAGAACTTTGCTTCCTTCCAGGAGAGCTGCATCGCAGTCGGATCCTGTCCATGCACATGCGATCATGCTGTGTTGTAGACAGTGGAGAGCTGATTTTCACCCGAGAAAATAGTTTTGAACATTCATGAAGAGGATATTGTTGCTGTAGCTAGCTGACAGACATAACCTGTGGCAGTGGTGTATGGAATGTGCAAGGTCTGTAGCAACTTGATCATGGCAGAGAACGAGCTGAAGCGAGATGTGAAGGGTGCCATGCAGCTTACACTTGTGCATGTTCTACGTTACTCTACGGCGAGGAACTACACACACACTCACTACTGCTCTCGCAAGGTGATTGGCTTCT